TGGCAAAAAAAACAAACACATCACTTGCATAGGACAGGGTCTACAGTGTCTCACTGTGTAGATCAGATTTGTAGTGATTCTCCTGTTTGCAGCCTCCCAAGTGCTGGGATTACAGGTGTACACCACCATGCCCAGTCTCAATCGCCATCTCAGCACACCCCAGGGGTGGGGCTGGCACAGTAGACTGGGGGATCAAACTTCTTCCCCTGCATCTGCCTAAGTGGGCTCTTTAATCTGCTGAATTATTTGGCTGGCCCCTTGCATAAGGAATTATACAGGTGGTTGCTCACTCTTCACATGTGGACATAGAGGAATGCAAAACGTTAAGCAATCAATTTGCAAACACCTAGAGAATCACAGGCTGCTGGATAATAAGCAGCAGTTTAGTGTGGAGGACGTATTGTCAGAACAATCTAATTTCCTTTTAAGACAGAGAGACCTTCATAAAAACTATTTATTGTGTCTGCACACAGCTAGAAGAAGCCTGTTAAGGGTGGAAGAGCACAAGCCCTCACCTCAGTTTCACAGCTACTGCATCCCAAGCCCTGTCCATGTATTCAACTGAGAAGCACCAGATTGGCTAGGCTGGTGCTTAAACTGCTGAGCTATCTCCATGGCCCAACACCTAAAAAGCAACTTTTGACTCAGGTCAAACACCATTAAAGTTTCAGTGCTCTGCTTCCTAGCACCTATCTGTCCCAGACAAGAGAACTGTACCCAGATTAGCAGATGAGTTGTTCTAGGTCCATTTGGACCAGTTAACAAATGTCTTTCTTTAGAGAGGGTCTAAATGAACTCCTGGAAGTGGAAACCTTGATGGTGAGTCACAAACATAAGCACTCAGGACAGAATTCAGGATAAAAGATGCCTTTTAGGGGACAAAATCACATGCACGTTTCTAGACAGAAAATACTGTGGGTCAACCTGATGTAAACTCATCCTCTTATCCGGCCATCCAGTCATCCCTGGTGATGCTCATCTAGTCCAAGGCTTAGATCACTTCATGGAGGTGACCCACTGTGGAACCCTTCTCATAGTGCCAGCCCCATGCTGCGCTCCACAGGCTTGGCCTCTCTGGTCCTGGCAGGCATGAGGGATGAGAATGTCTAGCCCCAGACTTGCTCCTCCTCTAAGCTTTTCCACTTCCACTCATTAAGCTACCGAAGATCTACCACTGACCCCCTTCCCTCACCTCAGTTTCCACAGCCAATGCATCCCAAGCCCTGTCCATGTCCTTCTTTAAAATGTACTGTGCTTGATCTCTGTGGCTACCACACTGGCCCAGTTACCTGTGATTCCTAGCTGATCCTGCTCCTCCATTTTTGCCTGCTTCTCTATGCTGACCAGTCAGAGGAATCAACGTAAAAGTTCATCAGATTATGTTACTCTCCTGTTCTAAAAGCGAAGATATGCCCATTGTGTTAGGCATAAAACCCAAATTCTTCACCCTTGATTACACCTCCAGAAGACTCTGTCCTTGCCTTGCTCGCCTTTTTACTCTGTCTCTAGACGCACTCTTTTTCTGACCCTCAGAGATACCACTTTCCAGCCTGAGAACCCTTTCGCTTGCTATTGTGTCTGCCTAGAGTGCCTGTCCTCTGATCCTTCTGTGGCATATTATACACTGACATTTAATCTCAATAGAACACTTTCTTTTTTATTTTTTAAATTTAGAGAGAGTTTAAAATATTTTATTACTATGTTTGTGCTACAAATGATTTGCATTTCATATGTGGAGTTGGCACATGTACATAACATGTCTGCATTCCTTTTTTCAGCCCTTTCTCTCCCCTCCACCCCTTCCCTGCATCTCTCGATCCCTTCCCTTTTTGAGAAAGATCTATCTCAATACTTCCTATTATTTATCTTTTTATTTTGTTCTTCACTTATACTTCATGCTTCTCGTATAAGAAAACCATGGAATATTTAAGCTTGTGTATCTGATTTATTTCACTTAACATTCTGGTCTCAAGGTGCATCTGTTTTTCTACAAATGACTCAAGTTTACTTTTATGGCAGAATAGTACTGTATTGTGTGTATATACCACTTTCCTTTATTCATTTATCTGTTGATGGGCATATAGGATGTTTCCAAGATTTAGCTATTATGAATTGCAGTGCTACAAACACAGGTATGCATGTAACAAAATATCTTTAACTCTGTCTGGGTGCTACCTAGGCAGGGAATAGCTGAATCAAATGAAATCTTAGTTTTTGCTTTTTGAGGAATCTCCATACAGGTTGTATCAATTTACATTCCAACCAACAATATAGAAGGGCGCTTCCCCCACCACCCCCGACCTTGTGAACATTTGTTATTATTTGATTTCTTAATAATGACCATTCTTTCTGGATAAGATGGAATTTCAGGGTTGTTTTAATTTGCAGTTCTCTAATGGTCAGCAATGTTAAACATTTCTTCATGTATTTATTGACCATTTGCACTTCTTCCATGAAGTGACTATTCATAGCAATTGCCCAATTTTTTTGATTGGGGAGTCCAAGATTTTTGAGTTCTTTATATATTCTAGTGTTTGTAACAGCTGGAAAATGTTTTCCCAGTCTTTTTTTTTTTTTTGCATGTTTATTTTTTATTTTTTGTGTTTTAGGGAGGGGTCTACAGGGTGTTCAGGGTCTTTTTTTTTTCAAAGTTTTATTGATAAACAGATAGCAATGAGACAGTTTCAAATCAAATCGGAAGTACAGTTTCAACAAATAATACACTGCATATATTCTTCTTAGTGGTTAATTGCTGTACAAGATGCGGACTTGTGATCCTATTTACAAACACCATTAGAACAAATGATTCTATTCATTAAGAGAATGCAACTATATATCTATCCTAACCACTTTGAATACACAGATACAAAATGGACATTCATCGGTATACCCCATTTTTTCTAAGTTCCATTATTGAATATTATAAGTATGTAAACTCAGCAAAATATTCCAAAAGAGTCCAGTAGCGCATAATAGCATTGGGTCTTCTGTTTAACTGGCAATGTCAGAAATTATTGACCTGAGTCCCCACAACTCAACATAACAGCATGGCTTTATTTCCTATATTTCATCTTCATACTTTTCTACTGGATGGTTAAGACCAAGGTAAAGCAGGACCCATGCAACAAGAGTTGTAGCTTTTTGGTCCAAGAAGGTCAGTGAAATGCCCTCAGGATTTATCTTGAGATCCTGTACCTCAGATTGTAGAACCTTTGTCAGTGCATCCATGTGGATGAGTCATGGCCATTGCTTGGCCAATGTGCTCTCTGTGAAAGCCTGAGAGAGTGTCTTCTCCCCATGTGACTCTCCTTAGGCACACTCTACGTCATCGATCACTTTCCTCTTTGGCCCCATAATCTTCTTGATCAGAAAATTTGGGACACTACTGAGTTACATGACGTTACAGTACAAGTTCTCATATGTCCTGAGTCTTAATTGACCTTAGAAGGCTAGGGCCAAAATGTTGGCTTTCATTGTAGCCCTCCTTTTTCTCTAATTTTGGTCTGCAAACTTAGGTTGTTAACCATCCAGAAGACAAGCTTATTGTTATTATCAAACGATTTAGGCTATCAAGCTTAACCTCACTATCTCACTGCATTTCAAACATCTTAGGCATAATAAGGAACAGGTATTTTTCATCAAGTATTGATATGTTGAACTTTAAGTCCCTACTTTCCCAGCCTTTAGATTGCCTTTTTACTCTATTGGTTGTTTCCTTTGCTCTGCAGAAACTTTTTAATTTAATATGATTCTATTTGTTGATTTTTGGTACTGCTATTTGTGTAACTGGAGTTCTCTTTAGAAAGTCTTTGCATATGCCTATGACTTTAAGGGTTTTGTTGATTTTATCTTCCACCATTTGTTTCTATTTTAGCATTTAGCTATTTGATCCATTTAGATTTTAGTTAAGTCCATAGTGAGTGATACAGGTATAGATTCAATCTTCCGCATGCGTATAGCCAGTTTTCCTAACACCATTTATTTAAAAAGATTTCTTTCCTCCTTTGGATTTTTTGACCCCTTTGACAAAGATCAAATAGTTAAATGTGCTCTGGTTTGTGAATGCCATTCATCTGCTCTTCTGCTCCATTGATCCCTATGTCGGTTTTGTGTTAGTACTGTGCTGTTTTTATTATTGCAGCTTTGTGATATAACTTCAAGGTCAGAATTGTGATGTGTCTTGCTTTCCTTTTTTTACCCAGCATTTCTTTTGCTCTTCTTGCTTTCTTCTAGTGCCATATGAATTTTAGGATTGTTTTCTCTGGCTCTGTGGAAAAGGCTATTGGTATTTTTTTTTTTTTCAATGGCAGCTGAAGCAGTAAACATTTTATTGTACAAACCTGAAAACTGGGAAGAAAGTGGTTCCCATGGTTGTTGATTTTTGAGGTTGGGAATTTCCATCAAGAATCAGATGAGATCAGTAATATCCCCTCAAAAGGCAGTCCATCATTTCAAGTCATCAGCAGAGTCCTTTTGGCCAAACCACATCTGGGTCATACCCTATCTCATCAGAAAAAAAAGAAACAGAAAGGGAACAAATATTCAGGCAACTTAAAAATTCCTCCCACAAAAGGAGAACTTGGTTCATTTACCTAAACACACAGATATGGGTAAACAGTGCATACTGCAGGAAGTGCAGTTGAATTTTTGTTATAGTATATGCAGAGATATAAATCTAGCAAGGGTCCAGTGCAGGTTAAAGAGTGCAACACAGTTCCCACATACCTGGAGTCTATATAGATATTTGGACATACAAAGGTTTATTCTGAAGATGGTGACCATTGTAACCCTTTCAGAGTTGTCATGTTGTAGTAAAAAAAACACTGCATCTTTGCATATCACAGTTATAATTCCCAAGAGAATGTGGTGTTCAGTTAGAGAGGGACTTCAGCTGAATGTTTTCTCAACTCCACTACACTTATGGGGACTTTTCTAAAGTCAATTTTCCAGTGTGAAAAAGGTGAAACTTTGACTAAAAGATTTTTTATACTGGCTTTTTATCAACTATGAATTCTCAAGTGTTTAATAAGGCTGGAGTTGTGGCTAAAGGACTTCCTACATTGGGTACGTGCATAAGGCCTTTCACCAGTGTGAACTCTCCCATGTTTAATGAGGCTGGAGTTTTGAGTAAAGGATTTCCCACATTCACTGTATTTGTAAGATTGTGATCTGGTATGAGCTCTCTGGTGTTTTTGGAGAGTGGAACTGTAGGTAAATGACTTCCTATATTCGCTGTACTCATAAGGTCTTTCTCCAGTATGAACTCTCTGATACTGAAGGAGGACAGAGCTTTGTCTAAATGATTTTGCACATTCACTGCATTTAAAAGGTCTTTCTCAGTGTGAACTCTCCTGTGTTCAATGAGGCTGGAGTTTTGACTAAATGATTTCCCACATTCACTGCATTCATAAGGCCTTGATCCACAAGGAACTTTCTGGTGCTTTATGACACTGGAATGATAAACAAAGAATTTCCCACATTCGCTGCACTCATAAGGTCTTTCCCTAGTGTGAACACTCTGGTGTTGAAGAAGTGCAGAGCTTTCACTAAAGGATTTCCCACATTCACTGCACTCATAAGGCCTTTCTCCAGTGTGAATTCTCTGATGTTTAATGAGGTTGAACTTGCTGCTAAATAATTTCCCACGTTTCTCACATTCATGAGGTCACATTCCAGTGTGAACGTGCTGGTGCTGAATGAGGCTAGAGCTCTATCTGAAGGATTTCCCTCATTCACCACATTCATATGACTTTTCACCAGTGTAAACTCTCCAGTGATCACTGAGGCTGTAGCTTTTACTACAAGATTTCCCACATTGATGACATATGTAATAGCGTCCTCTTCTAGGGGCTTTCTGCTGTTCATTTTGAGTTTTTCCATTGTGACAGACAGTCTCACAATTACTTCTGCTGTTTGACTGCTTCTTAGTTCCAGGGGCCTCTTCATAGAGGAATTCTGAGCTAGGAAGGAAGTCCTTCCCCATTTTTCTATAGGCAAACTGCTCCCATGCCACATGGGATTCAGACCTGTTCACAAACAAGGACCTGGTCCCCTTGCTTCTGAAGCACTGCGGGACAAACTGCAGCTTCTCATGCTGATGAGTCTCTGCGGTGAAACACAATTGTCTTCCACGTGCCCCACATCTGTACAGCTTCTGATCAGAACGTGTTTCTTGCTGGTGATAAGTCATGTGCAGCATGTCTATCAAGACCAGGCTACACAACACACAAGGCTGAGCCTTTTGGGGAGATAGACCTTCTCTAGAAGTCCTCACTTGAGACATGCCTTTTAAACAAGCACTCTGCTCAGAAGATGCTTCTGCATCTTCCACTCCAGGCCACTAACCCAGGGAGGTGATAAGTGCCATGTTCTCTGCCAACACATCGCAGTACAGACACTTTTGCGCCTTGTTAAGGAGATGACATTCATTCCAAGAGAAGTGTACAGCCACATCTTCAATGGTCACACTTCCCCGGGCCGGGCCTCTCAGGGCGGCTGCCGCCATGGGCTTTGCAGGAGGCTGGGGCAGGGCAGGGCTGTTACGGGGCTGTGTGGGCACTGAGGACCTGGCCCCGTGAGGGGTATGACAGGTCCTCTCTGCCTTCAGGTTCAGCTCACCTTGGTAACAACACCACCCCTCACCCCCAACCACCCAGTATTTTTATTGAGATTGGGTTAAATCTGTATATCAATTTCGGAAGTATGGCCATTTTGACTATATTAGTTCTGCCTATCCAGAACAGGGAATATCTTTCCATTTTATGATTCCCTCTTTGATTTACTTTTTGAGTGTACTGTAGTTTTCATTGTAGAAGTTTTTACTTTCTTAGTTAAGTTAAATCTAATACTTTCTTCAGTGAAGCTTCCCTGGTCATCAAACCTAAAGGAACTACGATGCTACTCTGTAACATACATCTTTTAAGAGGTTTGTAAGCAATATACAGACCAATATATTGCTTAGAGACAATTTAAATATTGATATAGTTTTTCATTGATTTATTTTTTGGTTGTACCCATTAGAATGTTAATAATAAGGAAGCCTGGATAGTGTATACATAGAGCTTGCAAGAGAACCTATGATCTGGTAGGTGTTCTTCAGTCAAGTTCTGTGGGATAAATGAATAGGTGAATGAATGCTTAAAGGATATTATACCATGTTATATATGTGTCCTTCCTCCAAAATGAGTAAGTGTTTCAGTTGGCTATTGCTGTGTAAGAAATTTCCCCAAAGCTTAGCACTGTAGAGCACCAAGGCTATGGGTTAATCATGTAGTTCTACTGACCTGGACTGGGTTAAATTGATCTTAGTGTGGCCAACTCATACATTGGGTTCAGCTGTCAGGTTGGCTGGGGACTGCTTGATCTTGGAAGGCTTTATTCTTGTGTTAAGCGGTTGTTTGTCTCTCAGCTGAGAGGCAGGGTGTTGGGCCATTCATTCCTGTTGTCCAGTACTATATGCTTGTCCACGTGGTAATCATGGAGTCCACAGAAAAAGAGAAGTGTTCCAAAAACCCCTTGAGGTGAAGGCATAGACTGATGCACCATCACTTATACCATAGTCTATGGTCAAAGTGAGTCACAAGACCAGATCAAACTTAAGGAGTGGAAAAATACTTATCCAGTGAGGGGAGCAAGTGTAAAGATGTGGCCATAGGGAGGGTGGGCATGTTTGCCATGAGTCGATAGTATTAAGCATGAGAACAAATGTGGCTACTTTTCAATTGCCATATTCTCCTTTCAGGACAAAGGCAGCAAGAGCACATGTGAAGCCCAGAAGTGTCTTTCCATTAGTCCACAGGAGTAGGCTCAGCTCCAAGACCTACCTAGTATGTTCTTGACTTTACAACTGCTGCGTTTGGAGAATGGGGAGACCTGGTGCCCAGTACATCGAGTCACAGAACTACACAGGCTTGCCTATAGCCAAGGAGATCCATAGAATCCCCAGTCCCCCTTGACTCTCCCCTTCATGAAGCCAGCCCAGAATCCTACATACATGTGCATGCAGGGTAGGATGTGGTGCAGTGGTCAGGCTCCTAGGATCCCACCTAGCAGATACTAGCAAACAGCTCACTACATGCAAGTATTTGGTGAAAAACAGGGTTAAGAACTCTCTCCTCTCTCTGTCTCTATCTCTCTGTTAAATAGAACTCAAATGACTCTGTCAGAAAAGGCATCGACGCAGGCCTTAAACGAATTCCTTAAACACCAAGAAAACAACAATTCAAGACTGGGCATGGTGGCGTGTGCCTGTAATCCCAGCTCTTGGGAGGCTGTAAATAGGTGGATCACTATGAGTCTGATCTAGCAGTGAGACCCTGAACACCCTGTAGACCCTTCCCTAAAAATACAAAAAAAAAAAAAAAAAGAAAGAAAGAAAGAAAAAGAAAAAGAGAAAAAAAGAAAGAAAGAAAACAATTCAGCCTTGTCCTTGTCTTCTACACAGTATAGTACATCCACCTCCCAAGAAATTCAAGGCTAAAGTAAAAGGAGAAAGCTTTTTGATCCAATAGATAGATGACTTCTTACCTTTTCAAAATAAAATCTATAAGCTGTGCTGAGTATTTAGTAGATATTTGTGGCATGATTATCTGAAGCTTAAACTTCAGAACTTAAAAGCACTCTGGGAAGCTGAGGCAGGAGGAGAGCAAGTACAAGCAACTTAGTGGCTTAATGAAACCACGTCTCTAAAATAAAAGATTTAAAAAGGGCTGTGACTGCAGCTTATTAGGAAGACTCTGGGTTTAATTCCCACTGCAAAAAATCTATGGGACTTGAACAACTTTTCTCCAGTTCTGGCCTCCTGGCCAATTCTCTCCCCTACCCAGCTGCCCATTTAGTTTTAAGATCCTCTTTCACACTCAGATACAGGTAAATACAAGTAACCTGGACACGACTTCAGGCCGATGAGAGTGCATATAGTGACTCAGCTTGACAAATGCGCTCAGTTAAGTGTTCTTCAGAATCCCGTGAATGTTTCCTTTCCCCAACCATTTCACACAATCCTCCACCTCCCCAGCACAAAATGTTCAAATTCTCTCTAAATTTCTTGTGTAAAAGAATACTTCTAGGCCATAGCTACATGATATCTCCACTGGGAGCCTTGTTTTCTTCTATACCCTGAGAAAACTGAATCTAAAACAGATTTCAGTGACTCAGCAGTAGGACTCTGGTCTCTGCTTGTGCTGTTTCCTTGTGTACTCCACCAGCCTGGAGGACTTTCTTACAATCCTGTATGGAAGGAAAAGAGGGGAAAACAGTGATTCCATTCCTCTGCGTTGGAGACTTTCTCACCCACAGACACATTCCTGAAGGCACTGGTCAGGAGGAAGTCTCAACCGGGCCCAGTGTTGGATCCACTTGGCTGTTTAGGATGTGTACGTGCAACAGCAGAGACTTCATGCTCTCAGGCCTCTTGTGCATGACTCATGGCTCTCCACCCAAGATGCTGGGACTTCCCCAGAGCAGGAAATAGGCTGCAGGCTTGGTGAGCCTGGGAGGGAAGGGAGACATGCCTGGGATGAGCAGGGACACGGTGAGATCCACAAGGGAAGTTCTCTGGCTGTCCTCTTGAGTGCAGGTGCACACAGTATGGTCATGACAATGCGTGAGTGCCTCAGATGGTAGAGCACAGGTTAGGCATCCTGTAGGCTCATACTTCATCTTCACTAGGGCAAGGAAAGGCTGAAGACTCCCAAGGCAGCCCTCACAGTGGGGGCTAAGGGACCAATGTGGACATGATGGTGACAAACTGCTTCTCATTCCTTGGTGTGGGGGAGAACATTCTTCTTCATACATTGCTGAGCCAAGTTCTTCACAGTGTCCAGGTTACCGAGCTCTGGTCACTAGGGCAGAGACAAGGCAGCTGGACCCATCTTAGTAGGTCAGATTTCTCAGAAGGGATAGAATAGTTGGGATGCTGATGCAAGTAGGTGACTTTATTTAATTACTTTTCAAGCTTTACTGCAGAAAACAAGATAAACCCTACTCACACATGTTACTCACATTTCCACCAACTCACACATTTGCCACCTTTCCCCATTTTTCCCTTTGTTTCTACAATTTCACACCAAAAAAATATTCCCATGTGTCCTGGTTACTCTTCTCTTATTGCTGGGACAAATACCCGGCACTCAGAATGAAGGAAAGAAAGGTTTATTTATCTCACAGTTACTGGAGGTTTCAGTTCATACTCAGCTGGCTCCAAGGCAGACTGGCACATGACAGAGGGCAGCAGTTCATGGTGGCAGAAAATTGCAAAAAGCAAGAGCAGATGGGAAGAGTAGTGGCAACAATGGCTGCCGAGAGTAAGTCTGTCTCCCTTATGTTGCATCCAAGCTCCTGGCTGAGTGCAGCACTCACACCCATAATCCCATTCGCATTTATACCCATAATCCCAGCAGCACTCACACCCATAATCCCAGTGGATCATGAGTTAATCACAAGCTCTAGAAGTCTACCCTATGACTGCCTGAGGCTTTGGGGGGACAACTAGACACAAACCATAACATTAGGTCAGTCAATTTGCCTCCACTGTGACAATTTAAGGAGAGAAAAGTTTATTTTGGTTTAGGGTTTTAATCTCTTGTTGCTCAATCCCCTTGCTTTTGGGCCTGTGTATAGCCATATGTCTTGGTAGAAGAAAATACATTTATAACAGCAGAAAACAATCTCATTCAATGACCCAGAGACCCAACTTACTTCCACTACTTCCCACATTCCAAAGTTCCACCACCTGCAAACAGTGGCCCAGGCTGGGTACCAAGGCTTCCACATATGTTCCTTTAGGAATCATTTGGGCACTAAGGAATGACTTACATGGGTCACTGTTTTCTGCACTGAGCTGCTGCCCTGATGCTGACATTGATAACTCAACTTGGTGTCAGTCCCAGCACCCACCACTCTGCCTTCATCTGCACAGCCCTAGACAAACTCGGCAGGATTTGTAAAGGTGGGGCAGCCTTTCCTCCACTATGTTCAGTTAGTGGGAATTCCAGTCAGGTTGCTTGGGGTCCAGATTTGCATAGTGTTGAATGAGACAGCCCTTTGATCTTACACTTTCCATCATTTCTCTCGCTGGTACATGCACACAGGATTGCCAAGAAGGGAGCATTCTGAATCTGCCTCCTGCTTGCATCAGAACTGTGGCTGTCCTAGATCTGCAGAGCTATATTGCTGAATCTGGTTCACGTTTCAGATTCTCTCTTTGGAGGAAGAACTTCCTCAGGTGTCTTCCTTTTCTGTCCACACACATTCATGATACCTCCCCTTCTCTCTTCTCTCCCTCTCCATCAGATACATGTATATCTGAATGTACATCTTGAAGCCTGTCACTACATAGAAGTTGTGTATTCTCTGGAGATACTCAGAGGCCTCAAGCAAATCAGTTGAAGCAAATAGCAGCAATAATGGGAGTTGCTTAGCTTTATCTGTCAGCTACATTCCCAGGTCATTCCAGGGTGGTCAGGTCTGCTTGCTGGTTTGTAATCGGCTCCTTAGTGTCTGAGT